GGGGCGGGCGGGCGTCTGAGCCGCGAGTGCCAAGTCTTCGGCTGTTGGTGTATTTCGGGACGGCCTCGTATTTAAACGGGATTTGTTTGTGTGACAGTAGCGTGAGGGGGGGGGGAGGGAAATCCTTAGCCCGATTGACGAGGTGATGCTTTGGCGCGGTTAACTGTGTAATGTGTTTGAGTTGCGTGGCTTAAGTTATTCAGGTGTAAACGAGGTCGTGTTCTAAATCTGTTCAGTTATGTTTTGGCATGGTGCAGGGCTAACCCTTTTTCCGTGATCGTGTTTCTTAATTGAAAAGCCCAAATGAGGCCTCGTGCTCTTTCCCTTGAACCCAGCGGGCAAACACGTGAGTTGAGGATGGGGCGCTGCAAGAGGATTGCCGTTCTGGCGGTCGCAATCAGGCCGTCGGGTGTTGTGGGTTCATGCTGTACCTTATTCCTTTGTGCTTACGCGTTGCAGAAGGCACCCCTCTTAATTCATCCTTCAATGCTAGGCAACTCTTCAAGCAAACGTGTAGTTTTGTTGCTCTCCCATCACGGGTTTGAAGCCATGAGGTGTGCGCAAGTGTGCCCAGTGAAGGACTTGAGTTAATACATCTGCAAAACGTGCAGCCAGGGCTCCGCTAATTGTGCAGAGACTCTCGTTCAAGGTGTTATTACTCTGATTGTCTGCACAGCGCTACGTTCCTTGTCACAGGCAACAGGGGGACTGACGGCGTCCTGGTACTGCAGGCCTGCCAGGTCACAGGCTGGCGCGTTAGCACAGACTGCTTTCGCTGGGGATTTCAGTGTCAGTGCCAGACTGCACTGCTGAGGCGTGGGGACGTGCTGTGGTCTGCCAGTACTGCTGTGGGCAGCAGCGAACTCCAGCAGGCGAGTGGTAAGGTCTCAGCCTCCCGCTGCAGTTTGCTCAGTGAACTTGATCAAGGGGAAGTTTTGTGACTGGCCCTACTTGGTCTCGCTTGTATTGGTGCGTGAGGCCCCCAGATGTGTGTGACTGGGCACTAAGAATCGGTCACGTGGGTTAGGCCTTTCTGTTGCAACTGCAGGGACAAGTGCAAAGCCGAGTTTACAACTGAACCTGCCCGAGTCTCTGTACTTCTTACATATGCAATCCACGTTGGCAGAACACTAATATGTATGAAGTGTTTAAGAGGTAGGGATCAAACGTGGTTAAGTTTGCTTTCATGATCTTAGATTGCTTCCTTGCATTTAGTTATGACATGGGAGTCCGAGTTCTTGCTTGCAACTCAAGGTGAGACCTGCTCAGGTAATGTGTAGTGAATGAACTTTTCTTGACTGCAGCATCTTGCCATCTTGTAGGAAATGGAAGGTGTGATGCAAATGAGTTGGGATTGCGGGGGAGAAGAAGGGCAGCCTTCATCTGAGGCTACGCTGGATGCATGAAGTTGTCTAATTACATAAGCTGACTGAAAACTTGTGCAACGCACAGATGAATAAGAAAAGTGTGTGTGATTATCAGATCTTGCAAAGGAGGCAGTGGAGGGAGGGAGAGCAGAGCCGTACTTTAAATGGCAGCCTGCAGTTAGATCAGATTTAATGAGATACTGGGAAACGGTACGATTAAATTACATCCCTTCTTCCAAAGATGCTATTAGAGTCTAATCAGATTTAGATCACTTTCACTACTGGTTATGAACTACATGTAGCTTAGTTTCTGAGACTTAAGATTGATGGTGTGATTTACAAAAGTATTGCGCATTTAGGGCATGGTTACGTGTGGGTTTTTTTTTTTTAATGGCCATTTTCTGGGCTATTTTTTCCTCAATCTTTCCTGTTTACAGACAGTTGAACAGATGCAATTAGCAAAAGAAGGTGGTAAGAAGTAATCTTGAGACCCACGAACAATTGTACTGGTTTGAAGAAATGGTGTTTAGTTAGGTAATGAATAAGGTGGGATGCGGATGGATTGAGAGCGGCTTTGAGCAGCTTTGCTGCTGACGAAGATTTCCATGAAACCAAGGCTGTAACCTGCCTTAGAGCAATCAAATCTTCCTCAGTGGGAGAGAAAGACAATACTTCAAAATTTGCAGGTTTCCATTTTCTATCTATTCTTGAATTTAAATGCGAAAAAAAAACCAAACCATATTATCCTGAACTTTTTGGAAATAGCTATAAGATGCTAATCTAGATAGATTTCTTGTGTACTTGAATCGAAACCACATAAACTGAATTTACCATGTCGTTGCTGATTACAGTTACTAAACTACTTTATTTTTAGGTAACTATAGGCCGAGGATTAGATCTCACGTACCAGCTGGTGTCAAAAACCTGTCCCTTGATGATCTCTCGTAAGCACTGTGTTTTCCAGCAAAATGCAGAAGGTTTGGGCTCAAACAGTGAATGGGCTGTGATATTATATGGTATAAGTGTGATCGAAGGTCTGTGGGAATGTGTCCTGTCTGTTGTGCACTTCCAGCAGGAAGCTTCAGTCTGCGGCAATTGGGATGCAAACCTTACTGCTTTCTGTATGTAGATTTGTCTCTTGGTTTAGCATTTTTCAGACAAGTGTAGTCTTGCCAAGGGCGCTTTGCAGTCTGTGAACCTGTTTTGTGTTACTCTCTTAAAAAAAAAAAAAAAAAAGAATGCTATGAATTTTGGCAGTATTCAAAAGGATAACGTTCTTGTACTGCTAATGAAAGGATAAACTGATACTCCTTATTGTAGTGACACAATTGCTTTAATTGTAATCAACTATAACAAGAATCTGTTGTTAGAAAAACCATGCTTCATGTTATGTTCCAACGAGTTTCTTCTGAAAGTCCTCCTCAGCTGGTTAGAATAAAGTGCTGACATCAGAGTCCTCAGCTATGTCTCACTTTGACTTCAGTAATGTGTTTGGGTTTTTTTTTAATATCATGATCTCTGCACTTTCTCATTCAGGCTGAAAAGTGTAAAATCAGTAACTTGCTTTAAAACAGCAGTGGTAGAACAAAAAGTGTTCAACGTCATGCATATTTGAAGGATGCTTGGGTCAACAGCAGACTAGTCAGAAAAGAATGGAGTGGCTGCTATTAAAATTACACTGCTCAAACAAAACTGTTGCAGAACTTACATAAACTTGCAAAACTTAGAGTTTTTGCATGACTGGAAACATCTATGGGAGATTAGCTACTAACACTTCCTCTGTGTTATCACTGCTACCATTTTGTCAAGTTGTTTTATTGAATCTCTTTGAGATACATCAATTGTTAATGATTCTGCAGTTCATCTTGAGCACAGATCAGTTTTGCTGTTTTTCAAAACTATTTCTTGAGCTAGTGCCTAATTTAAAACCGTTTTTCTGCTTTGAACGTTATCTCTAGAAGAGCATTTTTCTTCTTGTTTATATTCTTGTATTTATGTAGAACTGTCTCTTTTTTTTCTTTAAGCGGTATAAACTGTGCTCCTTTTTCTTTTCTAGTTTCTTCTTGGATTTCAGGTGACATTAATTGTCAAGAATAATTACTGCAATATTCTATGTTCTTGACAATGATCTATTGCGGAGTCTTTTCTTTCTGTTGGTTAGTTCTTACTTCTTCTGAAGCTTTTGGGCAGTTTTTTTCCCCTTAGAGTTCATTCTTTTCCTTCTGCACAAGTGCATATATTAATGTTGTTCTTAGAGCTTGTACACAAAATCTGTAATGCAGGAATAATGCATGGTAAATAATACAATGCAGTAACTAATAAATGGGACACTAAGCCAAAAAAATTGGATATTGCAAGGTTTATTTAAAGAGGTAGCTTGTTCTGATTGCAACACTGAAGAGGCTGGATATGTTTACAGTTGCCAGAAATAACTTGCAGAGGACTCTGTAACTGCATATTAAATTTTGCTGATTCTTTGTTCATTTGCAGAGTCTAAATGGAGTCTGGCTTAATAAACAGCGCCTGGATCCCTCAAAAGCCTATCCTATCACTGAAGGAGACCGTATCCAGTTGGGAGTGCCTTTGGAAAACAAAGACACTGCTGAATATGAGTATGAAGTAATTAAAGAGGAGTGGGAGAAAATCAGACCCTTTTTAGCCCAAAGGAATGACCTGGGGAAAGCTAAGAGTTCAAGAACTAAACGTAAATTTAGTTTGGAGGAATTGGAGACATCTGGATCAGAAGGCCCTTCAAACTCCAGATCCAAAAGAGACAGAGTGTCCTGTGACAATGAACCTTTGGGTAAATCATGGGGAAGGGTAGAAGAGGCCAAACAGTTAACAGAGAGGATGGATGTCAAGCTGCCTTCTCCTGGACCAAGTGAGGAGGATAGTAGTCCAGTGCGTAGTAGCCCTGTACACTCCAAGAAAGCCGTGCCTGTCCCCCATAAGGACCAGAAAGGCTCTGGTCTTGCACAGTCATGGACTGGCTTGGAAATGCTGAGGAAAACTCTGGTAGATATAATGAAGTTAAAGGTCAAAGTGCAGGAGAAGCAGGCAGCCGTTCTGAACGTGAAGCAGAAGCGCAGGAAGTGTGCTCAGAAGGAGATCCTGGCAATGGAGCAGGAGCTGCGGGAGTTGCAGGACCAGCTGTGCATGGAACAAGAGCATCATCAGCAGCAGGTGGAAGAGCTGGAGAGGACATTTTCTAAAGAGCAGCAGAAGCTAGAGGTATAATGGTGGTAATCTTTTTGGCCTGTGTCTTTTCATTTTTATGGAATGCCTGATACAAGACATTGATCCAAAATAAGATTTTGAACCATACAGTTACACAAATAATGTTTGTGTAAATTACTCCTGTTAAAATTGTCGTGGAAGTGTTTCACTTCCAGGCACGTGTACCAAAAGAAAGTGCGAAGACAGAAGGGATTGGGCTGCATGGGGAATTAGGAAAAAGGCGCAAAATAATTTTTAAAATTTTTTACAAACAGGTTTTTTAGAGCAAGATAGTATAGCATTTCAGTTAGTAAAAAAGTGTGTTTTTAAATAAAAAATCAAAAGTCTCCGCCTGATCATCTGTGGTTACAGAGAGGACAAGTTGAAAAGTATTCACCTTAAGTGTGAATTTCTCTCAGTATATGGCTGAACTAATACCCAGTTTGCATGGCAAATCCATTCCCTTTCCAAGCAAGTGAATTATTGCATGCCTTAATCCCTGGAAGGAGGGAGGGGTTTTTTTTTGTACTTTCAAAAAATCCTTTCTTGCAATGTGCCTTCAAGCAATAGGTCTATGTTGATAAGTAGCTTTTTTAGATAACAAACTGAAGTCTTTCTATTTGAGTTTGCTCAAAATCTGGTTTAAAGGAAGTAAGAATTCATCTTGGAGCGAGTTTCATAATTTATCAGTTACTTCCTTTAAAGTCTGCTGCTAAAGGCAAGATACCTGTATCAGAAGTACAGAAAGTCTGGAGTTGTGTGATTAGGCACAAGGGGAAGTTCAGCTGGAGCTGTAGGTATGTCTGACCTCTTTGAATGTGCTCAAAGATAGAGTTGCAGCTTTTTCTCATGTTTAAGCTGTTGCTGACCTCTTTGCTTCTATGAACATGCCAGTGCCTTTAGAGCTAGAATAACATGGAGAACATGGAGGTGTTCCAAGTATGTAACTGTAAATGATATATCCATTTTAACTCTTCACAGTAAATGATAGCTCTAATTTCTGTCGTACACGTGTAACGCTAGAGTGGGACAGCTCAGGGTTTGCTGAAAACCAGCGTTGTTTCATTAAGCATATCCTCTAAAAGGAGTGCGCAAAGTAGTCATTTTCTGTTCCTTGCTTTCTTCAGTTTGGTGTTTTTTTTTTTTTCCCCCACCAGGGAGTAAAGTGGCAACACGGGGAAGAGAATCTGAAGGAGCAGTTGGCCCAGGTCCTGCAAGAGGCAAGTAGTTATGAGTCTAGGTTTGGTCTAACTGTGTAACTCAGATACTGAAATCTTTCTTACTGCTGTGGCCTCTTGGTAGAAGATGAGGACTTTGCCTTAGGTGCAGACTGGATGATCTTCATCTACAGACCAAATTTCTGTCAGAAAGTGGCAGACCTCGCTTTGTGGGAGTTGCTATTTGCCAGCAAATATTGTGAGAATGTGCACTCAGATTGAAAGCATTAAGTAGCTGCAATGATTTTTTTTTTTTTTTAATTTGAATTTGGTCCTTGGGCTGGTAGGCTTTTTTGTGAGGTCTGTCTGCTGGGTATCTGTTTTAGGGAAGTTGTTTTGGCAATTTTAACCAGATGAAAAAAAATTCACTCTTGGTTAGGAATGTTTTTGAAAGAGATTGAAACACACTTAGGTTTCCCGGGCTTTTTCCAAAAGGCCTTTCCTTCTGGAAAGCTAATCTGAAAACAGCTTCAGGTAGTCCTGCATATAGTGACAGGTTTTTGTGATCCTTATGTGTCAAATACCCCTTGATACTCAAATGTCTCAGATGCACTCAAAACGGTGACCGTAAAACCTAACTGAAATGAAAGAGTAACCTGGGAGAGGGAATAAGAAGTGCCATGATCTGGGAAGGTCATAAATAACTGGCACTACATTCCAATTTTAAGTTAAGGCTAAACTGCCTTAACACTCCAATTTATATAGACGTGTGTTGCTCTTTTAGGAGGAGATTAGGAGAAATGAGTATGCTGAACCTCATGATTACGGCCATGTATATTTAATAGGATAGCTGATAATGGCACTTTTATAATTTCTGGGATGGTATTGTTACAGCATCATGCTTTGATGGAAGAACTGAGCCGTAGTAAAAAAGATTTTGAGGAGATAATTCGAGCTAAGAATAAAGAACTGGAAGAAACCAAGGTAAGGAATAACTGAATTCTCAGTTTTATTTATAAGTGAAACACGATATGCTGCAGCGGAGGAAGTGGTTTATTTAAAATTTGTCTTGACTGTACTTTGCCTCCTGTAGTGAAAAACTCCTGGATTTTGAGGTGGCAGCTGACCCTAGTTTCCAGGATTGGGGGAGGGTACACCTTGCCCTGTTCGTAAAGTAGTGTTGAACAGTCATTACTAGATCTTTCTCAATCATAAAGAAAGCCCAGAGCACCTGAACTGTGTGTTGTGCAGGAGAAGTGGGCCCATTCCACCCTTTCTTTAAAAAAAAAAAGAAAAGAAAAGAAAGAGTGTGTTTGAAAAGTGAGGTGCTTCATTTTCAGTTAGAGTGTATTCAAGTAAAACTGCAGTATTCCAGCAGTCCTACAGGGGAGCGTAGGACTGAAACAACATGGAATTTGAATAATGAATGAGATAAGCCACATTTCTTCCTGTCCTTGACACAAGGTGATGAGTGGAAAATAATTAAGGAGATCCCTTCCTGTGTCTTACTTTTGGAAATTATCACGTTATCCACCTCTAGCTGTTTGCTTTATGGTTTTTTTTATGTCGCCTTTGGAACTCTGTTGCTGTTTCAAGTATAGCTTCAATTGGAAGAATTTCTCCGTTATTTTTAGAAGATAGAGTGGGTACCTAGGAGCCTAATTTAACTCCAAACAAAAAAAAATTATTAGGCAGTTAAATGCAAATAAATGTTTTAAATTCTTATGCTTCCTTTTTTTAATATTTGAGGTATTTTGTCTGTTGGGTGTTTTGCTCTTTACATCAGACATCAAAAGAACTATTCTGTTGACTTAAGCCAAACTCATGCCAGGAAGAGGTTGAAAAAGATTCTGAAAAGATTGATCCAGCTGGTAGTTTCTTTAGGCTGAAGGGAATTTTGGTAACGGCTGCTGTTCTTGCTTGTAAGTTCTCTATAGTGGGTGGGAATATTCTCAATACTGCCGTGACTACAAAGAGGAGAGAGGGGTTACAGATCTGGGTATATAATAGACATAGACTTGACATGTGGAGACTTGCAGTTGTATGATTTTCTACTTGTACTACCTTCCCCTGCACGTGCACTTCCTGCCAATATTATATTGAGTAAAACCTTGTTCTTTGTTGATACATGACCGGATGTACTTTTCCACTAGGAGGAGAAGGAAAAGGTGAGAGCCCAAAAAGAAGAGGTGTTGAATCAGATGAATGACGTGTTGGAGAATGAGTTGCAGTGCACAATCTGTTCTGAGTACTTTATCGAGGTATGTTTAAACTGGTATGGGTTTGCCAGTAAAGAAGAGGCTTGAGAAGCTTTCCCTAGTTCTAGTAAAGCAATAGTCAAGCTTATTTCTTTACTTCGCTAGTTTAACAGTCCTAACAGACCCACAGTGAGTTGTGGGTAAGGTTTGGTCCAGAAATCCATTCTGTCTGCCCTAACTCTTCTGGGCAGTAAGTTCAGCTTTAATGTCTCTACCTGCAGAGAGATGAGTGCTTATCCTAGGATGCATATAGGCTTGCAGCAGTTTTGGGTGTTTTTGAACTGGTGCTCTGAGCTGCTGCTGACAGCTTGCTTGGGGAAGAATCGTTTTGTAGTGGACCTTGCTTTAAGTTGACTAGGGTTGGACTGCTTCAGGTTTAGATATAGGAAGAGGTTAGTAAAGGAAGGGAGTTGCAGCGTTCAGTGAAGTCCTGAACAGTTTATATTGTTCAGATAAACTCTTTGAGAAATTGGCCTGCTTTCATTTGATTCGAGAAGTGATAGGCTATGCCTGAAATGTAGACTGTTATTTCTGTTTGTGTTTTGCTAGAACTTCAGTTTCATTACATTAATTTCTACTACAGGAAACCTGATGTGTTAGCCTTGTTATAATGACTTAAGAGCTAGCTGAAATTTCAATTTCTGGTTTCTCAGTAATTTAAGATGCTATTCTGCAGTATCTGTTTTTCCATAATTTATCCTTTTCAAATTGGGGAAACTTATAATAGGATTAATTCTTTTTGTGTGCGTTTCTGACTTGCTGTGATCTACGGTGAATCCATTAACCAACTCGTAAAACTTGTCTGCGCTCTGGCATGGAAGAGTTTGTGTGTGTAACCCCTACAAAGGCTAAAGAAAAGGGGCTTTGGGCTTCTCCCCCCACCTCTATTATAGGAAATGTTCATCTAATGTTTTTCTGACTTCAGTATTTTTTTCTTGACAATGCTTGTGTGAGCATGCTCTGATAAGTATCCTTCCGTTGAATTCCACAGGCAGTCACTCTCAACTGCGCGCACAGCTTCTGCTCCTACTGTATCAATGAGTGGACGAAACGTAAAGTGGAGTGCCCTATCTGCAGGCAAGAGATCAAATCAAAGACACGCTCTCTGGTGCTGGATAACTGCATTGACAGGATGGTAGAAAAACTGGATGTGGAAATGAAAGAGCATCGCCTGACCCTTATCAGAGGGCGGAAAGGTGAGAGGTGGGTGGATGTGGCATGATGAGTACAATCTCCCATTCTGTCTATTTTGTACAACTTTCTTTGGCACCTACATACCAAGGAGATGCTCGGGGAATGCAGCAGAAACACTAGAAAACTAATTTTAACATACGTTGTGTAACGAGCTTTACTGCACAGTAAAATAAAATTAATAAAAAGTTTGGAAAAAGACTTCAGTATGAATTCCACAGTCGAGCGGGACAACTTAACCATGCTAAAGGTTACGCTGTTTCAAAGAGATCACTAAATAAAAGCAAAACTATATAGAATGGGCCTTGAATAGTTTACCAGGCACCTTCTGATTAAACTATTGACTTCATCATTGCAAAAACTCAGCAGAGCAGTGCCTGATGAGAAACTCTGAATTCTCTTCCGTGTGCTAGATTTGTGTAGGAAATCTCTGAAGGGAACGTTGTTGTGTCATGTAAGTGGCTGAACTGGCAGTTGCTCTGCCATGTTAATTTTTGTGGAATTAAAGCCTCTGTGGCTTAAATGCATAACCTCTTGCCTAGTTGTAGCTAAAGGACTGTGCATGACAGTGACAGCTTTAAGTAAAACTCCAGTATGGGGTATTCCTGTTCTGCTCCCCTCTTCCAAATTTGTTTCTAGAGCACTTGACACTGGTATCTAGGTGCTGAAAAGTAGAAGTCTTTTCCTGCTACCCCTTAACAAATTTCTATCGCTGTGTTCCCTTAAGTAATTGTCTTGTTTTCCCCTCATAGAGGTGAGTGCATGATCCTTCATTTTGCAATGTGTCAAGCCTTTTACCTAATAAAAGGTGCTTTTGAAATGTTTCAGATTATCCATGGTGACACAGAATGACATCGCTAAGCAGTGTTCAAACCCCAAATTATAACCTATTTAACCAACTCGGTTTGATTCCCTCAGGAAATGCTACACTGCTCGGCCTGCCCAGCTCGGCGTCGTGAATTGCTTTCACCTCTGCAGAACTGACACTGCTCTTGTGCAATACGCATATCTGCAGAGTATGCCATAGCACTATCAGTGTCTCATCAGGTAGCTAATGGTGATTAGGTGAAGTGGTGCCTTCGTTGGAGCCCACTTCACTGGTTTACCATACAGAACTGGTCTTCATGCTTGTTTGAACAAAAAGGAAGTAAGCGCGTAGCCTACCTTCATATGCGGTAGATGCTGTAATTATATAAATGACTATTAGGAAATCATTCAGCTTCACCATGACACACTTCAGGAGTAAGGATGAATTGTTTCTGTGCAGTCTTTTTATTTGGTGATGGAAACATTTTGATTGAGATGAAGATAACCATGTGTCTATTTAAACATGAATTCCTAAGAAGAAACCAGCTGAAAGAGAAATAATGATGCAAGTGGCACTTGAGAAGCTCAGTCAGAGCTTCCCAAGAAGCCTTTCCAAGAGCCTTAGTAGAATGGGCACCACTAGGACAGCTTGCACTCTTAAATGTATGGAGGTTTTGATGGGGCCGTAAGTGTCCTGAACAACCGTTGCTTGTTTGAGAGCTCCTTACCACATTTTGTTCCTTCCCTCTTTCTTACCTGGCAAGGCGCAGTAATAGTTAGCCACATAGAAAAAGGCCTCTGCCCTGCAGCTTGAAAGACCTATTGCAAACTGACAGTGAGAAGCTGTAAGTTTCAAAGGGAGCTAGTAATTTAGCATTTGTGGGTACAGTGGTCACTGCTAACTTTTGTATCTGTGTGTTTTGAATGCAGAGAAACAGAATGTGTTGGTGAAACCAGCCACAGACAATGACAGCAGTGTCATTTCTTCCATCTACTCCATCTTGTCGATGAGCAGTTGTGACAGTGAGGACTCTGAGGAGGATTCTTACTATAATGAAAGCTACTACATTATCTAAACACTGTTACTGCAGACTCGTTTGCCTGTGTGCTGCCCAGAACCATCCTAATGGTGTTTGGTTGACTACTGCTGGATGAGTGGACTGGACGTCTGGAAGGAGAGACTCTATGAAGAGGCTGGAGCTGAGAACTAGCAGCATTTGGAAGAAGGACCTTATTTTTTAAATGAATGTACAGAAGCTTGATCTCTAAAACAAAACTGGGATTGTGAGAGAACAAACTGCCGTTATGCTAGATGGTTGACATACAAAACCTAGGCTTCCATGATCGCTTGTGACCTGCTCGGTATAATGTAACAGTTTGTATGTGTCACTGCCCTTTCCTTAGTGAATGACATGTTTAAATGTGTATATCAGCTTCCCTTACTTCAAGCAGCAGAGGGAATGGCCCAAGCTATTTGAGAACTTGGCCATCCCCACCAGCAGGCAGGAGAGGTATATCAGGAAAAAGTGCCAACATGGGTTTTCCTCTTGAATTTCATATGGCAGCTAGAGTCATCCCAGGCCTCTGGCAGTGAAGGTAGCAAAGGGTGGGTTATGGACCCTGTCAGCCTTAAGTGCTTAAATGCATTGTAAGCTGAGCTGCTGGCCATCCATTTGCTCTGTTGATGTTCCTCATTTTCTGTTAGAATAGGGATGGAGAAGATTAAATCTTCCAGAATTTCTTAGCTAGTGCTCTTTTCATATAGTACCTTTGGTTTGTTCCCCCTTCAGGCTTTTGCGTAAAGGGTTTTAGAATTGGGAAGCAGCGCATCCAGAAGTTATTAGCAATGACTTCAGAAACACGTATAGTTCTTGTCAGCATCAGAGAGGAACCTCTGCCTCTTCAGAAGTGCTGCTATCTGAATTAGTGAAATGTCCTGTTGGCAGGGTAGGAAAGCAGCATCTGTGGCAACCACAAGGCACAGAAGGAAGCATTTAGTTTTATTGTTTACAGAACATTGCTGTTGAGCCATGGGTTGTACTACCCTCACAGCAAATCACTCATCCCTAAGAGACTGAGCAAGTCTTGCCTCATCCTATCATGAATTTGTCTATGAAGTTCCATTTTCAGTGGCATATGCTTTTGACTTAGCTGTTACGTGGAAAGGACTGTTCTACACTGTGAGAAGAGGATGGGGGAAGCCCTTCTCATCTATAATTTTTCTTTGGCTATTTTTACGTCCTTTCTTGTTTCGATGTTTATTTTGTTTAAGAAGGAAAATATAAATCCATTTCTGCATTAGTCTTCCTTGGTGCAACCACTGAGATGAATGTCTTTCTCCTAGTTGTCTTAGATTTTTTGAGAAAACACAAGACTATCTCATTTTAATGACTTTGCTTCATGTTTGATTGCTGTAAGCAGTGTTACTATTTTAAAGTTATTTGAGAGACTTGTGTATGCAGGACTTGATAAAAGACAACCCAACTCTTAAAGCCTGTGGCTACCCTAACGGTAATTTAGTAGATAGAATCATACCTCTTATCTTCTTCCACTAGAGAAAGATCCCATTAAAAAGGTGCATGAATGATGATGTTGTCCTAAGGAAGTAGTGCGTTCTGACAGATTTGATTGGTAGGACTTAAACAGGGGAGGTAGGTCTGATCTGTGGGCCAGGCAACTTTCTTAAAATCTTAGTGTAAGGTTTTTTTTTTTTGTGAAGGAGTCATTACATCTTGAGTTGTCCTCTTTCCCTTTTAATGTTCGTTTTCTGTATGTGCTCTTGAAAGTTTCTTTTGTAAATATATGCTCTCTAGGATGTCTGAGAGAAGAGGGTTCCTCAAAACACTCGTGAAACAGGCTGACGTTGGAACAGGCATTCCTCATGAAGAGGAGTAGGAGGAAAATACTCTGGTTACCTAGGACTGCAAATTCTTCCACTGTGTATCTCTTCCATGTTGCTGTGCTGGTTTTTTTTGCTCATTTCATTTTGCTAAATATATTTATTTTGTTACGTTGGTGTTAATGCATATTGCAGAGAAGGATAATGCTACTCCTAGTAACAGAGTAGTTCTTTGGTGTGATTTCTGAGTGTGTCCTCTTTTCACTAGAATGTGAAGAACCTAAGTGGTATACCAAACCATTTGCACTGTTACTGGTAGGTGCATAGTGTGTAAAGGTCTGAGGAGAGAGGTTAAGTAATAATACTGTTCACTTGCAAAAGCATTTCACTGACAAAAGCAGACCTCTCCTCTCAGTTCACTAAGTTCCTCAGTAAAACTACTATCAGATCCAGAGCTGATGATGAGACATACAGAAGTGTCAGGCAAACTACTGAGCTTCTGGAAAAGATGTCCATATTTCTAATACTGTGCTCTCCCTTGGTCTAAGGCCTGGATCCTTTCTTCTACTTGATTGTACAGCTGAATGTCCCCTTGGAGATGACATGCCCTGAACTGTTATCTGTCTTGGGATGGCATCATGGAAGTGCTCTTCCAGTCTCGCATCCAGGATTTAGGTTACAACTCCGAGCTAGTCACGGTTGGCGCACAGCAGGCTCGATGCAGGTTCAAGACTTGCCGCTTTCTGTTGGAAGATAGCTGCCATGTAGTGTGATAATCAAACACTTTCAGAGCAATATATTGTTTATCAACATCAGCAGGAATAGCTGGGAAGGAGCGCTAACAGATTGTGGAACGGGACCATCACAGAGGGACAGTCCACCGTTTAACTCCTGCAGATCTGTGGATTCCAAGATCAGTCTGACAATCGTTTTTCTCTTGCACATATCTACCATGTTAGTGCTTGGTGAGCCGTAGCAACAACTGTCATTTAACTTTGCAGAACATGTAACAGGCAGTTTAATAATTCAGCCGTGCCCCTCCCCCCCATTTTAAGTGTTTTTTTCCAAAGATACGCTCTGACTAGTCAATGTTTTGCTTCCTGCTCATAATCCTCCTTCCCTCCTGCCAGTCTCTTTTGCTGTAACTTCACATATTTAGACACATACTTTGCAACAGCTAGATAATTATAAACTACACTTCCCAAATAGTATACTCCTGTCCCGTGGTGCTACCGTGTTTGTTTTGGTTTTTACGATTAAGCATTCATGCCTGTGTACTGACCTGTATGCCCCTGGGTTTCAAGCTTAATGCGAAGTACGAGACAGCTCAATTAGTGTTTGAAATCCTCATTACAAATAACCTGTAGACATGTATTAGGCTTTTATTGTGTGAAAAGCTTTATCGTCACCGGCCTTACAAAACCTGTTCTGGCTCTGCTCAAGTAACAGAGTTGCAGTTAGTGGTGAGGTGCCTGGCAGTGAGCGGGCTATAGGCTTTCCCGTAGGCAGACAGTTTCTCGGGAAACCTGCGCTGCCTGTAGGAGTAAGGACGTTTCCAGCCAGCGCGGCAGGGCAGGCGGCGCAGCGGCCCTGAGCGGGGACCTGGCTGTGCTGCCTGCGGCCGCCACCGAGCTGGGGAGGCTGTTCGGTGGGCCTCCTTCAGAAGCATAAAAAAAGCCGTTTTTCTTAGAAAGCGCCACTTGTAAGGCAGCGGCTGAATTATTTGTGCGTCAACGCGCTTTATGTGCATTTTCATATACAATATATTTACAGAAACTATATAACATTTTACATGGAATTTCGATATGTTTTCACCCCACGCACCCCTACCTC